AGGGGATTATAATCAATGTAATGAAACAAGTTATATGAATTGTTGAATGTGAAACTGATAATGTGCCATGTAAACTTTCATTCAGTCCACAATAAAAACCTTAAATTAAAAAAAAAATATATGATGCTATTGAAATTTATACCAATTTACGTAGTGTGAAATTGATGAAACATGCAGTGAAGATGTATTGATAATTACTTTTGACTGAAATGTGAAAATTAGAAATATGATTGATAATTGGAACACATGGCGCCAGTGTGAGAAATGACGCTGGAAATCACAGGACAGAATTTAGCAAAATGAGCAACTTACTCATTGCAAATACTGTTTCAACAACATAAATGGTGACTGTACGCATGGACCTCACCAGGTGGAATCCATAAAGATCCAATCGACTACGTGTGTGGAACCAGACAATGGAGAACGTCAGCAACGTCAGTCAGAACCATGCCAGGGGCAGACCGTGGAACAGACCACCAACTGCTCATGTGCAAGTTCAGGTTGAAGCTGAAGAAAAGGAAAAGTCAAGAAAAGCTAGAATGCTATCTTGAATGTATCCCATGTGAATTTTGAGACCATCTCAAGATCAGATTTGACACACTGAATACCAGGGACTTAAGACCAGACAAGTGTGGCATGGCATCGAGAACATCATATATAGAGAAAGTAGGTCATTAAAAAGAGTTCTGATTACTTATAGCTGACCAGGTTTGTAGCATATCTGCATTACAATATGGAATTATCCTTTTATATTTAGTATTGCAGTTCCAGTGCCTTTATCAGATTGCAGTCTCATATTAAGTTATAAAAAGTTGATACTACTAACAGTTAATGAAATTTTATCAGGCTCCATTTTGATGTCATTATTCAAATGTGTTCTGAATTGCTTTCTTTGGAATATATTTGCATTAAAGAACTCAATTTGATTTGGCTGTTAACCCACTTTCTGGAGTAGCTTTAAAAGGGCAAAGAGAGAAATTCAATTTCTTCCTTGCAAGTGTGTAGAGGAACACATTGCTAAGATTTATGTAAGCAATTAAGAGCAGATGGCTGCTTTGAGCTAATGAAATGGCTCAGTTTTGACTATCAAAACATAAAAAATAAACCACTGCCATGAAGTCGACTTCACCTCATAATGACCTTATAGGACACAGAGCTGCTCCATTGGGTTTTGGAGGGGACAAATCTTTCAAGGGATCAGCAGGTAGCTTCACCTTTCTCTCATTGAACAGCTCACTTTGAGGTTAGTAGTCCAAAGCTTAACTTACTGTTCCGTTTTTTGACTATTGTTAAGTGCCGTCAAGTCCGTCCCCACCCATAGTTACCCTGTATAGGGTTTTCCAGGAGCGGCTGGTAAGCTTGAGCTGCCAACCTTGAAGTTCAAACTAAGATTTGAACCATTTCATATACACACACATATATAAATATATATATGTATACATACATACACGGGGTCCTGGTGTGGCGCTGTGTGTTACAGCGCCAGACTGCAAAGCCGTTTAAACTGCAAGGTTGGCAGTTCAAGCTCACCAGCTGCTCCTAGGAAACCCTATACAGGGTCCCTATGGGGCAGAACCGACTCAACAACACTTCACAACAACATATATATATATATACATACACACACATTAAGGATTATGAGAGACGATACCTCTGGGTTCTTTGTATCTCTTATTAAGAAATTTTAGAGTTTCACATTATTACATTTCTCCATCTGTGTTGCCCAAAATTAAATGGTAACCTCTTCAGAAAGTCGTTTCTCTGTTGGTACTATTATTCTTACCCATTTCTGCTAAAATTGTCCCAATGATGTCCGGAGGTAATTTGCATGAACGAGTTTATCTCAACTAAGCGAGCAAAAACATCCCATAAAATTGGTTTGCCATCTTTGTCTAGCGTATGCAATTTAATGTACAAACTACAGAAAAAGTGAAGGGACAAAGACTCCTGCATTCGAGAAAAGTAACTGCCTTTATCAATCATTTGTTCTAATAGGTACTTAGGGAAATTACAAAAAGGGCGTGGTGGTAATTGTGAAGTGCTGTCGTGTCGGTTCCGACCCATAGCGACCCAGTATAGGGTCTCTGAGGAGCGGCTGGTGCATTTGAACTGCCGACCCTGCGGTTCAAACCGACCTAAGCAATTTAAAATTGGTGATACTTGTGAGTGGAGGGGACAGGACTCTAAAGATAAATGTGGGCAAAACTCAGGCGACCAGGGAGATAAAACCGCCAAAGATAATGGGAAAACATTTCTACTTGGGAAATGAATACTCCCCGAGGGTTTCTAGCTTGTCTCCTAGAGGCTACAGCCTCCCTACTCACTCTCCTCCCTTCTATCATCACGAGTTCAAACCCACTAGCCGCTCCTCTTTTTTTCCCACGTGTTTTTCCTTTACCTTTGGCGGCCTTACCTCCCTCGCCATCTGCTTTGATCCTTTGAAAACCCCTCCACTCACAAATGTGCCCCATTTTAAAGCTCTTCGGTGGGTAGGTCTGAACCCTCAAGGTCGGCGGTTCGAGCTCATCAGCCGCTCCTCGGCAACGGCACTCCGCTATTTGTATTCTTTGTCAGTAAGGAACAGATTAACGTATATAAACAGGTGATTATAAAAGCCAGCGATCTAGACCGCCAACAGCGGAAGTCACGTAACGTCCTCCGCAGCTTTCCCAGGGACGCCAGCGCGCAGACTCCGTGACGCGCAGCACGCCGCCGGCCCCGCCCCAACACGTCACGTCGGCCCACAATGCCCCTGCGCGCGCGCGTCGCGTTCGCGCCGCCCCTCGGCTCCCCGGACGTTGCTGCCTCCTGAGCCTCCGTGTGAGGCGTCGGGTTCCGTCTGCCGGCTAACATGTTGCAGAAACCGAGGGCCCGGGGCCGCCCGAGCACACTGGCCGAAAGCCAACGGGACAGGGATCGCGGCGGCGACGAGGCCCCGAGCACTTCCCGCGGACTCGGCGGCTCGCAGGAGACGCGGGGCAGCCGCTCTCTGGGCGCCCGTTCGTCTCAGGCCGCCTCCGCTGTGGAGCCCCGGTCCCAGAAGCAGCTGGAGCTGAAGGTGGCTGAGTTGGTGCAGTTCCTGCTGATTAAGGACCAGCGCAAGATTCCCATCAAGCGCACCGACATTCTGAAGCACGTCATCGGAGACTACAAAGACGTCTTCCCCGATCTGCTGAAGCTAGCCGCCGAGCGCCTGCAGTACGTGTTCGGGTACCAGCTGGTGGAGCTGGAGTCCAAGAGCAACACCTACATCTTAGTCAACAGCTTGGAGCCGGTGGAAGGGGACGCCGAGGTCCGGGGCGACCAGGGCACGCCCACCACGGGCCTGCTGATGGTCGTGTTGGGGCTCATCTTCATGAAGGGCAACAGCATCAAGGAGACGGAAGTCTGGGACTTCCTGCGACGGCTCGGGGTGCACCCCTCCAAGAAGCATTTCATTTTCGGGGACCCCAAGAAGCTCATCACCGAAGACTTTGTTCGACAGCGTTACCTGGAGTACCGGCGGATACCGCACACCGATCCCGTCGACTACGAGTTCCAGTGGGGCCCCCGAACCAACCTGGAGACGAGCAAGATGAAAGTTCTGCAGTTTGTGGCCAAAGTCCATAAGCAAGACCCCAAGGATTGGCCGGCGCAGTACTGTGAGGCTTTGGCCGACGAGGCTGCAAGGGCCAGACCTCAGCCCGGTGTCGCAGCCCCCTCCTCCTGAAATCGCAGGACACAAGGACCCGAGGCTGCAGAGATTCGGGGGAGGGGACGGAGGCAGTATGTGTTTGCAAATCTTGTGCAGATCTTTTTACTCGGATGATTTGGTTCCAAATGCACATTTAGAAAAAATGCCTTTGCGTTGCTATGTTTTCTTGCCTGCGATGTTTTGGTGTTGCAAATGTTGCTTGTGTTGGAGACCTTTGGGTCGTGATCAGAAACAGTAAAGTAAGAAAAAACACATGGGGAAATTGCTTTGGTGCCAAGGAAAAGGCACTGTAGGTGTCTGATCTCTTAATCACACGTTTGTAGGGGAAGATCCAGAGCCTGATAAATTAAAAAGCACAATGTCACCACCCGGATCCTCACCGTCATAGCCGCTCATTTTTATTACCTTTTATGTGTAGAAGCATTTTGTATGGTTTCAGGCAATGTTTATATTGTATTTAATGCGAGAAAGACCTACTTTTCTATAGAATATCCATAGTTATTACATTAAGTTCCACTGAGGTTTTATCTTTTTTTGTTGGTTATTACAGTTTCAATAATCGTTGTTACAGTGTTAATAAACACTATTTTTGAAGCAATTCAGCAGTGTGTATGTTTTTAATCACGGGTCATAAGAAATTAATTAATCACTACCAGCATCTTTAAAAAAAATAAAGGTAGTTTATACTACAAATAGGCGCATAAGTAAAACTTTTATATATGTAAATATGCATATTAAATCAAAATGTAAAATACATTTAAGTTAGTCACACAAAACCCTTTTGGAAACAGTAGAATAGTGATTAAAAAGCACGCCTGGTTGGGAATCAGTCTGTGAGTTAGATGGGTTACTTAACTTGGATACAGTTATTTCCTTACTTGTAACCTAACTCCTAGGCTAAGATGAGAAATAGATGTGGTAATGTGTTTGGTGCTGTCCAATCTCATAGTGACCCTGTGTAGGGGTTCTGAAAAGGTGCTGGTGAGTTTGAACCGCCTCCTCTGGGGCTCAAACTGACCTTGCCTAGTGCTTCTCCTATGGTGCTCTACCTAGAATATTTGTCACAGTTCTGGGTCTGGAGGATTTTAACTTTTTACTTTGTTCCTTTAATTTTCTTTTTAAAGATTGTGTTTCATTCTTGGTTTGGAGCTGTTTGTTTTTAATTACCCTGGTCTAAAACATTCCTAGATAGGAAAGGACTGACTTAAAGTTATGACTGCTAATCTGACTTCATCTTCTGTTTTATGGAAAACCAAAAAGGTACAGGAACATTGACACACTTTAGGGTTTGGAGGTAGCACTGTAATGCAGTGAAAGGGAGGTATGGATTTTGAGGTTGTCTTACATAGTTTGAATTCTGGCTCATTTTAACGTGTCAGGGTGGTGGTTTGGGTAACTTGGAACATTCTTTATCTGTAAAATGAAAAGGGGGAAACCTGTGGGAGTGAGAGGCCATGTCTGACTTGTCTGGCTTCACAAGGGAGAAGGAGGATCAAAGTCAGCCCATGGCTGATTCCTATGAGGAAGAGGCCAGACATGACTGCACCCTTGAGCCATCTTTATCCTGTTCTGACACCATTCCTCCCTCCCACATCTGGGTTTGATAACCCAGTGCAGTGGCAACACAGAACTGAGATAGTACCCATAGAGGGTTCATTAGGGAAATGAACAGGGTAGAAATCAGGATCAGAAGTAAGTCTGAGTCCACAGGAACACCTTTTCTGTCATTCTGCAGTCATGTTTGGCTCTTGCCTTTGGCCTCTCAGCAATGTGGCCCCATAGCCTCTGCCCTGCTCAGGTAATAGTTGCAAAGCTCCTTTAGCTTGTCTGTAAATGCCCAAAGGGCACATTTGCAAGCCAGTCTCCTTCCTGCACTTAAGCACTCAGCATTGCTCAATCCAAGGGCGGGCAAACTCACAGCTGCTCTGTCTGCTGCCTCTGTCATGCTCCAGTAGTGAGTTTCTCTTGATGATCCCAGTATCCTCCGTTTTTGCTTCTGAGATGATGTGGTTAGATGCTGTCCAGTCATTCCTGACTCAACACAACACAACTGAAACTGCCTGTCCTGCGTCATTCTCACAGTCCTTATTCTTGAGCCCACTGCTCCTGCCGCTGTGCTAGTCCATCTCGTTGGGGGTCTTCATCTTTTTTGCCGACCTGCTTTATTAAGCATGATGTCCTTCAGTGACTGGTCCCTCCTGATAACATGTCTGAATGATGAGAGACGAAGTCTGGCCATCTTGGCCTCTGAGAAGCATTCTGGCTGTACGTATTCCAACACAGATCTGTTTGTTCTTTTGGCAGTCCGTGGTACTTTCAATATTATTCTCCAACACCATAACTCAAATGCATCAATTCTTCTACGATCTTCCTTATTCATTGTCCAACTTGCATTTAAGGTTATTTGAAAATACCATGGCATGTTTTTGGCTCTTGTGTAGCAGATTTGCCTAATGCATTACAGCGTTTCATTTCTTGAGTGTTGCTTGTGGATCCTTGCAAAATGAAGTCTGTCAATTTCAATCTTGTCTCCATTTAGATGGATGTTGTTTATTGATCCAGTCATGAGTATTTTTGTTTTCTTTACATTCAGGTGCAATCCATACTTAAGGCTGTGGTTTTTGATCATCAGTATTTTAAGTTCCCTTTGTTTTCAGCAACAAGGTTGTACAGCTGCATATCGCGGGTTCTTAGTGAGTCTTCTTTCAATGCTGATTCCATGTTCTTCATACAATCCAGTTTCTCAGGTTATTTATTCAGCAGCATACAGATTGAATACGTATGGTGAAAAGGATACAACACAGGGCACACGTGCCCTGATTTTAAACCAGTCGGTGTTTTTTTTTTATTTGAATAACTGTCTCTTTATGTCTTTCACTTTTGTTTGCTTTTTCTCTTTTCCTCTCCCTGTCTCTCTCTCCTGTTCTCTGCCAGTCAAGTTTCCTGTTAGCCATTTATATATTTTTATTCATTTGTAAGACCTCTTTATATGTTCTGCATATTAATCCACTGACTTGACATGTCTAGTCAAATTTATACTTTCACATTTTATTTTATTTATTGTAAATTTCATCATTTGATTTTAGTGTTCAAAGCCATCAGTTTTCAGAATTGTTCTTTTCGTATAGGATTTTTTTTTTTTTAATGTTTTATTGTGAATTATATGGTAGTTTACATGGGGGAACTTTAATTTTACATTCTTTCCATCGTATATCATCTCACTGCCATGGTTCCAATCCCCTCCATGCATCTCTTTTCGTATAGGATTTTAAATTCTTCCCCATATTAGTATTATAAATAGATATTTTTCAATATTCAAAGTGTTCAAATTTTGGTTCTTACATACACATAGATTTATATAGATTTCTAATCAATTTAGCACTAATTTCTAAAGTATCTCCTTTCCACACTTATCTATAACACCCTTTGTTATATACCAACATTCCACATATAAATGCATTTTATGGTGGTAGTTAAGTGCTGTCAAGTCCGTTCCGACCCATAGCGACCCTTTATAGGGTTTCCAAGGAGCGGCTGGTGGGTTTGAACTGCCGACCTTACAGTTTAAACTGACCTTGCAGTCTAGTGCATTATCCTGTAGCGCCACAAGGGAAATTAAATTGATTTACTTGCTGTCATGTGTGACTACCAAGCTATTTTAATCTGTAGCATCATAATACAAATTTTATTTCTTCTTTTCCACTTCTTAGCCCTTTTTGTGTTGTCTTTTTTTGCATCAGCTGGAACTGCTAGTATACTATTGCGAAGAAATGATAATAGCAGTTGTCAAGAATGTTCCTGATTCTAAAAGGAATGATTTTAAAGTTTCATCATCAAATGTGATAGTTGCTGTCAATTTTCCCTCCATAAATGCCTTTTTTTCCCCCCTAATGGTTCATTGTAGTTTTTAAATTTATGTTTTATTGTGAATTATGTGATGGTTTACATGGGAGAACATTAATTTTACATTCATCCTATCGTATATTGTTTCATTGCCATGGTTACAATCCCCTCTGTGCATCATCAACCAACCAAAGGGTATACACTTTAAGCCTTGCCCCCCCATCGTCAGCGCATAGCCCCTCTCCCTCTCTGGGTCTGAAGTCCCCAGCCGCTCCATCTCTCCACATCATTGTCTCTGTCTCCATCTCAGGCATCACTGCTTCTCTGGGTAGGGTCCCGCTCTCCGCTCTTCTCCCTTGATGGTCCCAGGGACCTCCACTCCTAGATTGAAAAATTAATCACTCCCCTCCTTGCTACAATACGTCTACCTTTATTTTTCCAACCCTCACAGTTATTCACTATTGTATCACAAGAGACCTATCCGCGTTTCCTTTCATCAGTTCCACCTAGACAGATTGGATACTACTCAGTGGAGATTCTACCTTCCTCCACGCCCTCTGGATCTAGGTTCCCTCTTGAAAGCTTCTTGCCTTTGTAGCCCCCCCACTTTGGGTTGCCATTGTCCAAGTTGCCCATCCCTGTCTACTCTGTGTATGGAGGGGGTGGGAATGATGCTCACTATAAGGATTTGTTTCCTCTTTTGAGCTACTGCATCCATAGGTGTAGGTCAAGTTCATCAAATTGTATCAGATTACTCTTTTTTTCATCTTCTTTCTTCTTCTGGTTGATCATCCAGTCATTGAGCCAGGTCAAGTGAGTATTATCTGCAAGTGTGGGTGTTCTTGTGCATATGCCCTCTCTATCAGCTGGACGCTTCACTTTCCACTCTAGTCCTCTGTGGCTATGTCACTGACTCTGGGCCCAGGAGTCCCTAGGTCTTGGCACACTGCTGGCCAACCAGGTCTCCACCCGGGTTCACAGGAGTCTATTGAACATTGTAGGGCTTAGCTTGCAGCTTCATTGCTGTTTTTCCCTCACTTCCCCTTATCGGTGACTAACGTCACCAATCAAACCGTGTATTCCCATTGAGTCTTAGTCTTGGAAGGGGGTTTGCTCTGAGGGGACCTGACCACTTGCTTTGATGTCTCCTGGGCGAGCAACTTGCTTGTTCT